CCCGCCCCCCGTCCCGGTGGTCTCCCGGGGAAACGGAGTCCTTGGGCAGGCTCTGGAGAGGTTCGGTTGGGCAAACTGAAGATCCCAGTGCAGGTGCCTTATGAGCGTACGTTATTTTCAGTTAAAACCTTGTGCCTTCCTTTTGTAGCAATGCGTATAAGGGGCGTGCTGTAATGTAGTCATCTGACAAATTGCTCCTCCGTTCCCCAAAGGAACTGCCTTCAGGATCTGACTAACTCTGGATGCACCCGGTTGTCATCTTAATTTCTCCTTTAGGTTGTTTAAAACAACCCTATTGGGTGACGTTTGGTTTTGTTCTTAAGAATTGAGTCTCAGAGGTTTCTGGTTTCTTACATTGATGTTTATAATGAAAGTGCAAAAGTGATTTTTACTGTTGCAGGGATCCATGTGTGGAGCCTACAGATTGTTCCCAGAACTGGTGCTCTGGGATGCACGCTGCACTCGGAGATTGAGCTCTGGGCCATACGTTCAAAATAAAACACTGTGTTATTTGATTGTAAAAAAGGAGATCTCCCGGGGATAGGGGATTTTGAAACGATAACAGAACCACCGCTGTGGCACGTGGTTGAATTGGACACACGTTAAGCTGGTCAGGCTGAACAGATAGGCTGAATTTGTTGCTGGATGGCCAGGTGTTTCAGGAGAAAAGCTAGTCTAGAGAAAACTTTCTCTTGCTGTTGCTTCTCATCTAAAATGGCACCCTTCCAAATGGCTGCTTCCAGGGGAAATTGACTCTTTTTGAGATTTAATAAAACATTTCAGCAAGGAAGATGAATCACCATAGTAAATTGCTGCCAGGCCCCGGTGTTGATTTTAGTAGAAAAAGAATGAGTGCCTTTTCTTTTCTTTAAGTATGCCTGTCTCACCCAAGAGTAGATGTAGCAGCTTTAGCAGTCCCCTTACTTTGGAATTGATTCTCGATGCCCATTCGGACATCGAGGAGGAAAAGCTGGTGGACAGAACGATAGAGGAGAGCCACCCACTAAAAATGTAGGAAAGAAGGGGTTATGCATTAAGGGAAAGCCACTACATAGAAAATTGGTGCTATCTAAAAATCTATTAAGGATCTGGGACCTGCAGATACTGCTGCACCTGAGTGTGCTGCAGTCATGCCTGTTGCCACTGAGCAAGATGGAGAGAGCTTCTTCATTGAACGCAGTATGTTAAAGCATGCACTGTTGCCTGGAAGAAGAGCAAAGACTTCCATTATGTGGAACTTTGGATCTGTGGTTCACCTGGTGTGCCATATCCAGCATACGGTTTTTAAAAAAAATCAACTGTGGCAAGCCAGGTACTCATCTGGGGACACTGACTCTTTGGTGACATCTCCAAGCAGAGCGTTGTGTACATTGGGCCGCGGCTAACAGCCAGGTGTCTCAGCTGTAAGCGCTGTAGGGAGGGTGAACATGCCTGTAACGTGTCTGTCAACCATCTCCCCAGACAGGAGTTTTAGCAGTGGGAGTTCGACGTATGTTCTCAGCTCTTGTGTCAGCAGTGACAGCGTGGCAGAGCCAGCGGGCTGGTTTTTCAGCTGGAAGAGGAGGAGTGGACTGCAGATGTGCCCCTGTAAACAAGAGCTGTCAAAGAGATTTGCCGTAGATGTGGGTCGTACCAGTGTAGCCGTTGCAGCTGCAGCAGTAGTGGATCCTGGAGCGTCTGGAGAAGATAGGAGTTTTCTTCACGGAAGCGATACTGTCAAAAGCCTTTTGATGCCAGAAATTAGACAAACGCATCTGTTGTCTGGAACTTCTCAGTTGACCCTCGGTATACCTGGCACGCTCCTTGCAACGTTTAAAAAGTGTGTTGGGCAGGGCAGGGACTCGCCTTGGCGCTTCCACGTTGCAGCAACACTTGCAGATCACGCGTCCTGCACACTGGGCCAGGACCTAAATCTGATGGTGCTGTTGATAACCTGAAGCTCGGGAAGCACTTCTGGATTTTTCTACTGTTCCACATGAATTTTTGCCCCATGAAGGTGACGTATTGAGCTATTTCTTTTCAACGGATAGGCTTAGAGCCAGTTGTGGTTTAACATCTCCAGGCTTGGGTGTTCCTATTCCATCTTTGCCTACTGAGCAGGTGCTTGGTAGGAGAAAGGACATAAATCTTAACCATGGGACTCAGACTCTCAAGTACATACTGCTGTGAAGAAGTTCAGATATGAAAATGCACTTAAATAACAGATAAACAGAGGTATTATAAAATTGATTACTGAAGACATTTATGCCAACTTGTTCATACAGATTGTGGCGCTAGACAGTCAGTTCCCATCTATAATGTGACTATACAGCATTGTAAAAGAAAAGTTTTTCATACCTTTGGAGAAAGCACAACACAAAAATGCACATTTAACTATTGATACGTAGACCCTGAATGAACCGTGGACTACTTGACAGTGATGGCCCAAGGTTATCTTTTGATACACTGCACCAGCAGAAGTCCCCTTTTAGAAAACAGGCAGCTCCCTCCCACTGGCTTTGCTAAAACTTCTGCAGTAGGAAGCGTCCTACAAGAACCAAGTTACCAAACTGATGTGTGGCTTTCCCTTAATCCCCTCACCCCTGGCTTTCCAGCTTCCGACAGCACTGCCGACGCTGTGTGCGCAGTGCTAGGTGCCAGCTGCAATGTTTTACATATATTTTAAAATTAATGAATCAGGACTTTGAGCACGGGAGCACTGAGAACAGGTTAGCGGGTGCTTAATAGATTTGCTTGCTCATTCTGCTGAGGCCCATCAAATTCTTCAGGAATTCCAGCATTCAAACCATTTTCCACAGATCACTTGAAGCAGGAAATAGCTGCTCAGTGAATCTCTTTCTACCTTTTATATGTTAAAGTGACTTCAAAACAACAGAAAGTGGAGCAGCATCCTCCTGCGAGGGAGAATGGGACTATTCTCAGGTCATTCCAGTGGTCCCAGATGTCTGATGGGTGCAAGATTCTTGGCCTGCAGGTGGAGGCCAGTGGGGAACTACAGTTCTTAGTCAAGTGCTGCCATCAGTCACGTCCTTGTGGCTTTGCAGAGCATGTGGAAAGACTTTCAGATCAAAGGTGTCACTGTCCCTCTTGGACTGCGAGATGGGTGAAATATCTTAGGCTCGAAACTGATTTTCTAGAGAGTGGTGTGCTCAGATCTGAACACTTTTTGCCTTGGCCACTTTACTAGATCCCTGCTTTAAAGGTTGCTTTGAAGAACTCCTCCTGAGTCTTGATGTGTCAAGCTAAAGACAAGTCTGTACTGAAGCAGCGTCTGATCTGATGAGTGCTTCAGTACGAGGTTATTCTTTGACAGTTACAGAAACACCAGGCCAATCAGCCCTTTCAGGAGCGGATTGATTTGCCTCTCATCTTAAGGAAGAATGTCCTAATTCAGGTCCCTGAAGTGGCACATCTTCAAGTAGAGTTGCTCCAGCCGGCAAGGGGCAGCTCTGCCTCACGGCTGTGGTAACTCACGGCTCTGGCTCTCAGAGATCACGACGCAAGGTGACCCTGACTCAATGGCAGAGGAAGCGGAGATGATCATCTGCTTTAACCTTTGCCTTCTTGGCTGGCAACCTTGCAGTCTTTGCTCTGAGTGGGTCTTGAGTGCTGTAACTCCCAGGCTCAGAACATGTCCCCAGTCCAGGTTTAGGCAGAACGTGACAGCTAGAATTGACTAAAACAAATGTAAAGACTAGAAATTATGACTGTTCTGCTTCAGCTTTGGACAACTTAGCTTTAGATTTTGATACAGAGAATGAGATGTGTTAGCAAGAGGTTCTCCTGTGCTTCAGACGACGTGATGATGTGTGGTTTACGTATGCATCATAACGCACAGTTCTATATGTAATTTGTGACATCTAGCGCGCGCTGCACTTTCAGCCTGTGGAATGTGGTAACAAGCAGGTGAACCAGCAGCAGCTGTTTTGCAGCTGGGGTAACGCTGACCGATTGAAAAAGGGGGTTAGAACGTGGAGTGCCTGGTGCTCTTCCTTCCTTGTCATCTTACTTTACTGTCCTAATAAGCAGGGGTGTTAAGCATCTTTAGTATTTTTGTAAGAAATTAAAGGCACAAAGTAGACCAGCGAGAGAGACTGTCCAAGTGAAATATTTTGTGCTTTGTAACCAAAAAGTACCCATGGGTAGGTGCAATAATACTTCTCTCATGCATTTGTTGGGGTGCAAAAAACTTCTGTTCCCTCCTTGCTCTTCGGTACAGGACAAAGGCAGGTCAGCGAGCTGGAAAGTTAAACCAGGGAATAGGACTGTTTCTTCGGTACCGAGAAAGACAAGCTTGTAAAACAAACTAGACAGACTTACATTGTACTATTTATCTTCCCTTAGCAAAGGTAAAGTTTGTGGCATTTGTTGGCGTGTTTTTCCTGACCCCTAGCTACTGCATCTGTAATTATTTATTTTTGTTTTTACAAAATGAGTTCAAAATCTCTCAAAACAAAAACTTTACTAGAGTTCTGGAGAAAAAAGAAGCATTTAAAATTCTTATCAGCTTCCATCAGAGACCTGCTGAGTGCACCAGAGTTACTCATTTTTATTCAGACTTTCAGGGGTTAGTTGGGTTGATTTCTGTTTAGCACTCAGATTGCCATGTTAACTGATACCAGTTTAAAAAAAAAATTTTTTTGAGTTAACCTTTTTGAAAATGAAAGGACTTTTATGGAGTTTAGAACTCTGAGGGGTTTTGGGGTTTTTTTTGTTTGTTTTGTTTTAAAGTTTTGCTTTTTTTACCATTCCTTAAACAAGATCCATTCAAATTCTGAACAGCTCTTGAAGTCTGCTCAGGAATATGGAAGGCCACAAGCAAAACGCTGAGCTGCTTGGACATTCAAAAGAGCTAAATCTGAGGGGATTTCTTTTTTTCCCCCATGGTGGTGGATGTAGTAATGTTGCATTATACAGGTGTCTCTCACTTCCTAGGAAAAAGAAGTGCTGCCTTCTAGACCGTGAATTCCTTCTGATTTGTATTTGAATGCCTCTGCTCAGCAAAGCAGTGGTCCTTAATTGCCATCTATTTAAGCTTGTGCAAACTGAAGAAATCGTGCTTGAAATTTAATTTAACTATCAGTGGTGTTGGTAACACATTTGGAAAAATGTTTCTTGTCAAATTTCTACGTGGAGGAGCACCAGGAATTTTTAGAAGTAGATGGATAGGAATCTGTATGACACAAAGTCTGGTTTTGAAGGTGCTAAAGGTCAAAAGTGAATAGTCACATCGATACTGAAGAAGGGAAGAAAACCTTGCACTTAACTACTGTTTTTACTCCCTTTGTCAAGCAGTCAAGAAAATAATAACTAATATGAGAACCCAACTTTTCCTCTCTTTATTTTAGATTTGGGAAAATTCCCTGCCAAAAAAAAATATCCTGGAAAATTCACTAGTGTTTGTGTGAGTAAAAGGTTCCAACCTTTTATTGTTAATTTGTAAGAACTATTTCATTCAGTTTTGTCCAAAAGACTCAGAAATACTTCGCACAGAAGTGTGCAGCATTTTAATGAAAGGGGTCAGAATCACTTTAATTTGAACTTTATCTGGTCTGGTTGCAGGTTTTATGGCATTTAGTATCTTTAAAAAATTAAGAATCGAAGTATCTGACTTCACATCAAAAAAACCAAACCTGCTTGTGGCTGAATAAAATCAGTTTCAGCTCTGGTGGCACCAAAAAATGATCAGCTGTTGAATTGGACCTAAGCCATCTTTTCAAACCTTCCGTGATCTTTCAGCAATGGATAATGATGGATATCTGGACTAGGGAACAGCATGTGATGGCAAACTTGTAGTATTTGCTCCGATGTAAAAAGAAAGCAAATTATTTCCTAAAATCAAAATAATTCAAAATTCTTGGTATCATGCAGCCATGCCACTTGCAAAGTGAGCATTTCCCTGCCTCTCAAAGCTTGCTGTATCCTTGATCTGCTGTCTTCCTGCTGTTAATTGATTGCAACTCTACGTGTCTGATCAGGGCTACAAGTTGGTCTCGATATGGATATCATACAACATATACTGTGCACGCTTGTGTGTATAGATATGTTTATACTGTATGCATGTACATACGTATGCATATTTGTGTGCTGGCCCCCAAATCACTCATGTTATAAAGCATCAGCCTTGAAGGCGTATTCAGCAAAATATTATGTAGATCTTTCATTTTTTGCCAGTTCCCTCAAAATGAGAGACTTTTTATGCAGTCTTATGTGGCAAATAGCCCAAAATTCTAATTTTTACTATCACACTTGCTGACTTTATTATCACTCACTCTTGGTGTGTGTATAAACACATATGTGTATGTATATACATATTTGTGTATTTATATGCACAAGTATGTTTTTACTGTGCAGGTAATAAAGATGGGGGAAGGTTTTTGTGTTTTCTTAATAGGTGAAGAAATCTTGAAGACCAGAAATTGCAACTTACTGAATTTTAAATTAAAAAAAAAAAAAAAAAAAAAAATTT